AATCTTTTATTTAAAAATGGCATAACCGAAGAAATTTTGAGGCTTCTTTTAACACTGTCTTTACATCTTAATTACTCTCAGTCGGCATAATTTCTACGGTGCTGAGGCACGATGCCAAAAGTAGGCAGTGAGAAAAGATCTTAGCTTGTCAATCTTTGATTACCTGGACTTCATCTTAAAATTAATTCCTTAGTAAAAGGATATTATTAGTAATTAGGCCTTAAAAATGATTATTTTTTCAGCAACCAATCTTTCAGCTATTTCAACTCTTTACTCAGATGCTTTCTTTCGGATAGTCACATATGCCTTGCACTAATTGATTGCAAGAATCCAACCCTAATTTGTAAATATCGTTGGGAAGAAAAGTAAACCAAGCTCCGGCATATGTTGGCTTCCTGTTAACGTCTCTTCCTAACTCAACCCCTTCTATAATGACAGAGCATCTTGCAATGGCAAGGACCTATTCTCTTCAATTTCCATTGAGAAACTAATCTCCCTTTCTCGTTGGTTAAGAAAAAGTAGGAGACTATCTAAACTTTCTTAAGCATGAGGCCAGATGGCATAATAGTTATCCACGATTCAAACCAACAATTTGGCAGTTAGTATTGCCTCTTGCAGGAAGTGTTGCTCAAGTTTGGCCATTTCGTTGTTCGTAAAGATCGGGGGTATGCAAATGTCGCTCGCAATTCCATGTATCTATTCATAGAACTTACGATCAAAGGTCATAAAAGTGCTATTCTTGGTTGGCTTAAGAGGTTACAGAATGAAGGCGATACTCAAGCTTCTTGCTTGCATAAACTTCGGATGCTCCTCTAGAATAGGCACCAAAAGCTTAATGGCTCTTTAAACAGAAATATTCGCCTACATGTACACAACCTCAAAACTGACTAGCCTATCTTTCACTAAAAGCATATACTGACCCGCTAATTTACCAATCACACAATACTCTCCGACTGAATACATAAAAAATCAGTAGATCACCGTGCGTGTATGCATACAAAATGTAATATTTATGCCTCAAACCTTTTTCATTGCTAGCAATCCGATAATTAATCTGAGACCGAGCCTCTCCTTGTGCACCTTTGCAATGCCAGAAGCGCAGGATGGCCTAAAATCTCTTGGAAATAGTGAAAAACTTTTCACTTTTTCACTCTTTTACTTTTCCACTTCTTCACTTCAGCATTAGCCACTTACTCACTTCACTCACAATCATCCACATGCTAGCTTAAGCTCATCAAGCAAATCAGTTGCTTACGCAGTTTCTTCTTGGCACCAGACAGAGAATGGGCTTTTTTGATTACTTTGATTTAGGACCGGTATTGCGTCAAGACGTCAACATAAACACAAAAACACACAATGGAGTAAAAGTAGCAAGACTATTATGAAAGATAATTAGCCAATTCATATGAATCTATTGAATTTTATATACTTTAGTTTTTTAGTTGTGTGCATGTGTAAGAGGAAAGATATAGCCGAACAGTCTTCTTGACTTGGTGTTTGTTATCGTGGGACTATTACAAAAATGAAGCCCAGCTCCGAGGATGTGCATCGAAGGATGGAACGAAACTAGTGAGGACATCTCGTGAACTTGGTCAACCTGAAGGTAGTAGTGGAACCGGGCGGCTCCAGTGCAACGCGAATCAGTCATCGTCTTCTGGTGAGTTCGACCTTCGAATCTCTACCTTATTCACCTTTATACGAAATAAATGTCTCTTCAACAAAAATCCAATTATATTGGTTCTTTCATTCTTGTTTTAGGAGAATATATATGAAGAGATATTACTTATAGTAATCTGCGTGTATTCAGGCTATTCAAAGTAGCCAACAGTTTGTGGCCCCATTTAATGCTCTAATTTATGAGGCATTCTGAAGAATGCCATTCCACGTATTCACAAGCCTGAGTGCAGACCTACTATTAAAGGCTTTATCTAAATATACACATTCTCAATAGTTGAAAAAGTTCATATTTCTGGAAATATTTAAGTCGGATAATCCAGCCTCTAAAATGAATGCATTGAATGGCCAACTTTTATTTAATCATAAGTAGTGCCATATTTAGAATGGTTGAAATCACACCGAAATTCAGGAAAAAGTTTCTTTTAATGCATTCCTTCCTTGATAGTTATTTGATATACTCCAACGTCATTCCATTAATAGTTTAAACAATTAGGCTAGTATGGCTAAAATAATTATTTGCTTTTTAAAATAAATTCTTGTCGATCGTTTGTCGAGAGTATGCGAACTGCAAACATTTTGGGCAATATATGTTTATTTATCTGTTAAACAACTCTTTGTGGTAACGCAAAGATGCATTGGCAAGCCTTATGCTGCAACCTTTGGAAGACAGAAGCGCAGGGTGTCCTAGCATCTCTTGAAAATAATGAAATACTTTCCACTTTTCCACTTTTCTACTTCTTCATTTCCCCATTACTTACTGGTACCTCAAAGGCATCTTTCAGCCTAATCTTGAGTCTCTACAGCATTTAAGTAGCAGGCTTCGTTAAATTAACCGGCATTTGTTCAACCTAACTTCATCCATACATGATTGCCACTGCTACACATTTGTCGACTTTTGTAGCATTTCGATTATTGCAATATAAATATCTAGAAACTATACTGAAAACCAAAGATAGCTTTGGTGTAATTATCCGGTAAAAATAAAGAATCCCTTTCATCTTACCTTCTCAGGTAATCTATCCGGTAGCATAATTATTTCAAAAAGTCTGTCCTGAAAATGGTTTACTTCATTTACAAAAGTAAAATTCAGTAATCTTTTTAACAAAAGTTTATCACTA